CCTGATAAAAGGCGAAGGACCTCAGTCAGAGACAGACTCCTGGGGAGAAAGGGAACTCCAGAGCTGGGAAGCTCTAAGGGAGCCTGAGATAAAGAGAAACTGTGCTCCCAAGGCAGGAAGTCTGAATAAGCAGAAGGCAAGGTCCTAGGATGGACAGAGAGTCTAAAAAACTGGGATCCTGGAAAGAGAACTTCTTGAGGAGCCTACCAGGCCAGGGAGTCGAGAAGAAGTGCTTCAGGAAAGGGGAGGATTCTAGGAAAGAGTCATGGTGGGCAGACAGAGACCTCCATGGACTCAGACACAAGATAAAACTCCACACAGGCAGCACCAGTAGACCTGAGCTGGGAGCAACCTGGACAGTGGCAAACACTGAACTCAAGACAGGTGACAGACTGTGTCCCTCAGCCAGGAAGCTGAGAGAGAAAGGTGTCGGGCCTGTGTGAGACTTTGTTAAACAAAGAAGCCCCTCTGGGGAGGGTGCTCTTTAATACCTGAAGCTGGTCTGTACTACTTATACTCCAGGTGGAGAGAAACTGAGTCAGAACCAATGTTCCCTTTAATTTTTTTCATCCTTGTGAGGAATGAATTTTGTCATATGTGCACCAAATTATCGCAGTAATGTGTGTATGTGCGCCACCAACAGAAACAAAAAACCTAGATATAATATTTTTTTAAGTTACTATAGGGATAATTACTCCAGCCAGGACAGGTTAGGCATTTTAGAACGCACTACTCAAAGAATTAAATTTAAGTGTAAGAGAAATAAAAATTATGAAATGCATAGGGCAGTCAAAAAACTCAAACAGCAGCACTGTGAAAGAATAAAATGACAGAGAATGTATGTGGATTGCAGGAAGTATCAAGTAGCAGCAACAACAATACTATGTGTTGGGAGGTGAGTGTGAAAAGAAAGAGAGAGAGATTCTGTGTGTGTGTGTGAGAGAGAGAGAGAGAGACTGTGACACACACAGTGTCCGAGACAGACACACGCGTTGCCCGTTTAAGTACGTTCACAGCCTGGCAGGACTCCGCAGTGGACTGCAGCTGCCCTGGGGCATCCTTCAGGTAATCAATATTGCTAACTCTCACACTATATGGTGCTGTTCCTTAAAGCCCCGGTGTGTATATACGGGCACAGGAAGGTGACACTGAGGAAGAAGTGTGTACGTACAGCATCCCCTCGAGTTCTGGGAGAAGTGGAGCGGCTTCCTCCCATTCTGAGTTATAGTCTATATAAATCGTCAAGTATCCATACCCCCAAAGTGTGGAGTCTTGGCTGACAGCTCTGACATGGAGCTGCGCGCGGAAAGAGAAGTCAGGCCATTGCCCCAGTCCCGTGCAACATGGATCCAGGGTTGAAGAACAGATCTCCCAGCCCGCATTCCTCACTGAAAGGGGCCCTTTTTTCCCCTTATTCTACAGAGGACCCAGCTCTCTCTCTCCACCAGCAGCAGCTCTGTGGAGGTTACTGTCATTCTGGTGTTTACACATCAATTTACTGTGTTATGACTCTATATTCACAATGGAAAAGGAGAGAAACTCAGGGATTTTTGAATTAAAGCACAGAATTTCAGCTGATGGCAAACTGCAGCCCAAATGGTGGAGCCTCACTAAAATCCTGAGCACTACTGTTTCTTTTCAGTCCTATGATTTGCTGCTGTACATTGCCCTTTTAAGTAGATCATTACTCAAAGCAGACACAGCAGCAGCAGCCACCAGCAAGCTTCCTCTCTCCCACTCCTGAGCCCTGTTGCATCCCCATCCCTCTGCAGAGATGGGGTACAGGGCTGGGGGGGCACCCTGACATCAGTACCCCTATTCCCGCCTGCTCTGCATAGCAAGCAGGAGGCCCCCGGGAGCACCTCCAAGGCAGAGGGCAGGAGCTGCAGGGCAGTGGGTGGAGGGACACCTGAAGTGCGTGGCACTTGATACCTGCTGGGCAGCCGCCCGGCCGCACAGTTTAGAGGGAACTTAGGTCAGGACTCATCTACAAAGCCGCACCTGACCAAACCACGGTGACCTCCCGTGATTCCACACTCCAACAGGGAAATTGCGATGACTTGGACTATAGAATCCCTGCCAGTGTCTCCAGGATACACAGTCATTATCATCTGCAAGGACAGTTCAAACCTTACCAGCAGCAGCAGAATGAATAAAATTTTCACCTAGCACCATTGCAGTATGAACAAGCTCCCAAATTCCTATTTATTAGGCTTCCACATTGCAATCCGGGGTCCCAGTCTGGGTCAGTGGCACTGGATTTCACTCTCAGTCCTGAGCTATAATGTGGGCAGAAAAAGCCCATTCAAAAATTTGCAAATCTGGTAAATTGAACCATGAACATTCCTCAGAGAGCTACACTAATGGATTATTTTTTACATGTCATTGCAGAAAAATAATGGGAAATAATGTTATGAGCAACTGGGTACAAGGTTTTAGATTGAAAGATCCTTCTTAAATGTAACATCAGCATCCCTTCCAGGCTACACGTTATAATGCGTGTGCAATCATTTATGACAGAATATTGTTTTCTGTGATTGATCACATACCTGTGTTAATTTAGATTATATTTGTAATTTCAGACACCAGGAGCAGATTTGGTCAGTATCTCCAGGAAGCAGAGTCACCATTGACTGCTGGAGCAAGCATTGCAGTGCTTTAGCCTGCAACCACCAGAAATCTGGGCAAAATCCTCCACTTCAAGTGTATCGTGCTTGCTATCTTGTCAGGGGGATTCCCACCCGTTTCAGTGCACTAGAGCAGAGTAGGATTTCACCTTCACAATCAGCTGAAGATGATGGAGCTTATTATTGTCAATAAGGTTATGATACCCCTCGCATGATGATATACACAATACAAAACCCTTGCTGAGTTGTTCAGTTCAGTGTATCCATTCCTCCCTAAGACCCACCATACCCTGGTTTATGCTGGATTATACTGTAATGCAGGAAACTCTCAAACAACAGGCTGCAGATGCACAAAGCACCTAGAGCAGTGCCTAATCTACACAGCAGTTCAGGGGCTGGAGAGCCCAAATAACAGGTGGCATTGCCAGAAAGGGCATGTGTGTAGCAAGGCCACAGACTGTGCTGATTCTTTCTCTCTCTCTCTCATTGACTCCCTAGCAAAATTTACAATGACCCAACCGCAGAAGGAATCCCAAAGGATGCCGCCAGCAGCAACACGAACACAACCTCCAGGTAGGTCTCTGACACCATTTATAATCTCATTGTCATTAGTGACAGTTGTAAAGAGCAGGGACTCTATATGGTTCTGCACCAGGGCACAGAGAAAGGATGTTTCTTGAGCAGCTACGATGCATATTTAACTTCTTTTCAACAAGAAGCTGAACATCCACAGAACTGACACCAGATGGCCACATTCAACTACCTTTCCAGCATTGCCCATTGGCAGTTCCACACGTTTGAAAATGAGACCAAATATTTTAGCTGTGAAAATGTGGACTGAGCAATCTAACTCTACGTCTCCAGGAATTGTTACCCCAGAATTTGACATTCCTGTGTGGTACCCCAGAATTTGACAGTACTGCCATCAGCAATTTCGTATGTTCACCCGCTGCTAGCTGAAAACTAAGCATCCCATAGCTAGGAAAATCTTGGGCTCCGAGAGGCAAGGCCAGATAACAGCATGTTTGCAGTATTCGCTACCAGAATGGGAGGATGGACTAAGAAGTGAATGTTCCATGAAAATAGAAGGAATGTTTGGACAGCGACCTTGGTTTTAGGTGCCTCTAACATGTACGTTTTAAAATTATGACTAGAAATGTTGTCATAAGAGATAACGAGTAGCTTTGCTGAAAGTAGGAGAATTGGTGACCCACTAGGAGTCACAATAGGTTATGTGCTTTGTTTGAAGTTGGCTATAAAAGATCATGCAAAAGAATTTGCTTTGGAGCAGTCCATGGAAGCTTTCTTCAGGCAACGATCTGGCAGCTAACTTCCCCAGCAGCTAGACTGAAGGTCGGGCCCCCTGGAAAGCTAGTTGTTGATCCCTCAAAACCATTTATTGACTCTAGGTAAATACACTGGTTTTGAAATGCTCTAACCCTACTGCGACAGCATGTGTCTGTGTGCTTGAGAGCTAATAAAAAAGTAATTTTAGAAGAAAGCACTCCTGCTTGTACCAATTCATTATCAGATGGATGAGCTGTGATCCCATTTATTTATTCCTGACACTGCCTGGAGAGAAACAGTTGTTACCACTGCTTTGGGTTCTGAGACACTCCAGGTAAGAAAATGATAATCATGCTCTATTTATACAATGCGACATAGAACACAGGAAATGACAGGGCTCACAAAATATTTATTGGGATATCTACTTGTTCCTGTACACTACAACTACCTTTGGGATTTAAATGGCAAAATAGTCAGGAAACTAAGGTTCCCACAACCTTGTGCATCACAATAGGGTCTTTAAGGTTATGACTAATAAACTCAGAAGGGAGTAGTAGGTAAGGGAGGGGTTAGCCCCTGCATAGATCCCCTAATGCAGGGAGATCACGTCGATAACTTTTTGAGGAGATTCCTAGTAGAACAATGATTCTATGGTCATTAAATGTAAATGACCAGTAAGGTAATACTGATGCATTGAGAACATTTATTCCCGTTCCACCCTGACAAATGCCATTTCAACACAAAGTGAGCGACCGTGACTGTAACCTAATATGCGGTCGTTTAGCACCCAACAAAATAGGGTCCTGATCCAGATATGGACATCTGGGCACTACCTTCACTATCATCAGAACTGCCTCACTGGAACACAGATTGGCGGGGCTGCCCCAGGGACCATCGCATTGAACTTGCCTGTTTCCTCCATAGTCCTTTTTACTTCCCTTTCTCTGCACATTTTTAGGGCAGCTGGGAATTTTCATCTCTGAACTAAATTTGCATATTTCACATGCAACTGACACTGTTCTGCAGCTCTGAGCTGTTATAAATGATCCGTGTCACTCGTTACCATTTGTTGATCAGCATCGGGCCACTCAGACGTAGCAAGATGATCTCGCAGGCTCAGCTCATCTGGCTGTTAGTCCTCTGGATCCAGGGTAAGAATCAAATGAAGGGGGCGCTGGATGATTTAAACTACAGTGATCTATGGAAAAATTTAAGAGATGTAGATATATTGATATATAAACATTCCTCAGGTAGCGACAGTAACTTCTGAAATGCTTGTCTCCTTTTAAGTGCAACTAAGAGAAAAAACGGGTTTCAGAAAAACACAAGAAATTAGAAGCAACGAGGAATGAAAGAACCAGCTCAAACAATGTTAGCATCATTTTCAGAAAATTTGCTATCATTAGGATATAAAGAGGCACATGTGAATATTTATAAAGACAAAATATTGTGTATTTTAAAACATGATACTAATATACACACACACACTAGAGAGAGCGACACGATATAGAAAGGCTGTACATGTATATGCTAACTGACATTCTTTGTGTTAATTCAGACTCCAGCGGGGACATTGTGATGACCCAGACTCCAGAATCCCTGGCAGTGTCTCCCGGAGACACAGTCACTATCCGCTGCAAAGCCAGTTCAAGCCTCACCAGTGGTAGCACTCACTACTTAGCCTGGTACCAACAGAAATCAGGACAAGCTCCAAAGCTCCTTATCTATCTTGCTTCTACCCTGCAATCCGGGGTCCCGGCCCGGTTCAGCGGCAGTGGATCCGGCACCGATTACACACTCACAATCAACAGAGTTGAAGCTGAAGATGCTGCAGACTATTATTGTCAACAGCATTATGATACCCCTCTCACAGTGATACAGACCAGTACAAAAACCTCCCCACACTGTCTCTTTCAGTGTAACAGCTGCTTCCTATACATCATGTAGCTGCTACATGAGATTTCGGACAGCATTTTAATCAGTCTTTCAACACCAGGCAACTACTCCCCTACTCCTACAGCTGACCTTTCTATAATACTGTTGTCTCTTTCCCAACACCGGTACTGACTCTTTGATGAACAGTAGCAGATGTCCTGCACTTACAGGTCAGCTTCTCAGTACAGGAGAAACCAGTGATGAGAAGTCTGAGGTTACAAAGCACAACTTGTTTTATTTACAGCAACACCTGTCCTGAAACAGAGGTGATCGTAAACTGCATGCAAGTGAACCCCTCTTTCAGGAATCTTATCCCAGGACCAATGCGCCTATCCCAAGACGCAAATCTGCTTCAACAATTTAATCAGAGAGGAAGGCAGACATCAAACTCTCCTGCTACTCACACAGCTCCCTTTCCTCAGACCCCTGCAGAGCCCAAATTAACACCACCACAGCATGTCTCCCCAAAACACTTACTCGCACACTCTGAAAAACTTGGAAGACTGTGTAACAGCGCCATCTGGTGTCACAGACACAACAAAGTATACTGTCCTGAGAAAAGTATACTGTCCTGAAAAGTATACTGTCCTTGCTGCTAGCCACATTTCTTTCCATAAAGAAATCTTTTTGCTGCAGCAGCAGCTGAATCAGGGGTGCTTTTTCCTGCATAAATCATTTTACTCCACAATTCACCAAAATAATTTGTACTTGCTGCCCCCCCTCTGAGCATTTCAGGATTAAAACAGACACAGCCCTTCCTGGTGCTTTACTGGCAGTGCTGCTTTTTGGAGAGGTTGAACCAAATTCCTGAACTCCAGAGCTAGCAGAGCCTAGAAGGGTTGAAGGAGCATCAAGTTCATCTTCTGGAATGAAGGAACAACTCACGTTACTCTCGAACGACCCACTCTGGTGGACACGTGAAATAACACAGTCAGGAGCTTTTGGCTGCGTCCAGTCTTCCTCTGACAGAGGGAAGGTTGCAGAAACATGGGGCCTTTGAGGGAGCAATTGGGCAGTTGTCACAAGTGGGCTCAGATGGGGAAAAGCACAACATGTATTTCCTCCTTTGTCTGAGGGCATTTGACATTTTTTAGGGCTGGCCGCAGAGGTTGGGATTAGGGGATTTCTTTGGTTTTACCCAAACTCAGACTGACCATTGGAGGTGCTGGTTGCTTGACTGGGGTTTTCTTCCATTGAGCTCCACTCAACTGCATTGTAGAGAGGACTCAGGTGCTGAGATCTGACAGGACAAAGGTACAGGCTGGGTACTGACAACAAGATCGAGCTTGAGACAGCAATCGATTCTGCAGGGCTGGAATTTCTCTGGGTTTGCACAGGATTATTCCCCTGCAATATTAATCACACCAGGAGACCAGATCACAGCAACACAAAGTGGCCACAACCTCCCCTATCATGGGTCATCCAAAGGGAGGCAATGTGAAATGGACAGTGCCGGGCGGGGAGGGGCAGGACAAGGTAGTAAAGACTGGCCCCTTGTCAGCTTCCACCAGTGGAATGCTCATGTTCTTATAGAGCGGACGCAAGAGTGGGAAACAGCGACACATTAAGTAAATTCAGGAGTCCATCACTGCACCTGCCTCCTTGTCCACTTGATCGTAGGTCCTGGACTAAGGTAATAGGTGACGCTCTGGCTCATCCAGAGCTGCCGCCACTATGCACTGGCTTGGTCTGGTTTATTCTCCGTGCTGAAGCTGGGTGGCAGCATTGCAGATAACAACGTATGCAATGGAAGAGAGCCCAGAGCGACATCTGGAGGGCAGTTCACAGCACCTGGCCTCCCCTGATATAGAGGCTCCCTTTTGATTAGGGAACCTGAGCTCCCTGGCTGCCGAGGCTGCAAAGGCAGCAAAGGAACAATTCCTGGTGCTCCATAGCCACATGCTGCGATGACAGTGATGGACACATGGAATGACACTGATAGGCTGTGTTAGGAGCTGCATGCAGCCCTCCTCTGCTACATGGGGTCTGTGAGAGAGGATAAGGGTGAAAGCAGGGATTGGGGCCCTGAGGATTTGTTTAACTTTATGCAAACCGGTACTGAGCCCTGGAGGTGCCAGCTACTCTCTTGGGGTTTCAGTTCAGTGAACTGCACCTGACTGGGTTTGAGCATAAAGGTGCTAAAGACTCACACAGGGTCTGTGCCATGAAGTACTGTGTGTTGTGGGAGTGTAAGCATGACTTGATTGGTGCACAGGCTTTGTGCTGGCCATTTGCATAGGGACGAATTAAATCTTGTGGAGAATTAAGAGCGATACACACCTTCTGGACACCCAGCTAACAGCCAGATTGATTGTAACGGCCGTACGCACAGATCAGCTCTGTATGGGCAGCCTCTGCCCTAGGGGCTCAGGGGATGTACAGTTACACAGACTGTCCGTTTGTATATTTTGACTGGATTGTTTTACATATTTCCACACAGCGTGACAGTCCCCTGCATGTCGGTGCTAACATACATGATTTAACACTTTAACAGAGTGTTTCTAGGATCAGGATCTGTCACTTTAGATGTATCCGTTGATCTCTCTGGCCAGGTCTACTCTACATACTGTTGCTGATATATCTGTCAGTCAAATGTATGATGATATTTGAATTGTGACCAATATGGATGCGCTGATAAAAGCCCCCCGGGTAAATGCGATGATAAAAACAATACTGTGCTTTCATTGGTACAGTTTGTTATGCTGGGGAGGTGGGAGGGCTGGAATAAACTATACTGGTATAACTATACTGGTAGACATAGTTTGGCAGGTATAAACTGTACCCACACTAGAAGTACTTTGCTCATACAGTGAACGGGTATATCTCTCCTGGCAACGTGCTCCTAGTGTAGATCTGGCGTCAATCACTGCTTCTCTTGCTTCTTATACTCTGGATTCAGGCTAAGAACAACAGTGGAGAAGCTGGTTTAAATAGACCAGCTAAAGTGTTATTAATTTATTTAACAAACCGACAATAGAGTTCCATCCAATTTACAGAGTACACAGGCATGAATTAACTGCAGATGCAGATACCCGTGGACATAAAGTGGACCGCTGCAGATTTGCAGGGCTCTACACATCAGTGGTAGTGGGTCTGGAACCGATTTCATTCTCAGAATCAGTTCTGAGCACTAATGTTTGCTGAGGTAGAAACTCAAAAATCAAAAGCATTGTAAATTGATCCATAAACATTGTTTACATGTCATTCCAGAGAAATAACTGAGGAAATAAGGTTTTAGAGTAGCAGCCATGTTAGTCTGTATTCGCAAAAAGAAAAGGAGTACTTGTGGCACCTTAGAGACTAACCAATTTATCTGAGCATAAGCTTTCATGAGCTACAGCTCACTTCATCGGAGGCATTTTTTCTTTTTGAGGAAATAAGGTGAGGAGCAACCAGATAGAAGGTTTTAGACTGAAAGATTCTTCATAAGTGTAACATGAGCATCACTCCCTAGTCAAATGTACATGCAGGCATTTATAATGTAATATTGCTTACTGTAATAGACCACATCTGTGTTAATGTAGATTTTGTTTGCAATTTCAGACACCGGGGGCAAATTGCTATGAGTCTCCAAAGTCCCTGTCAGTGTCTCCAGGAGACAGAGTCACCACTGGCTCCCAGGCCAGTACAGGTATTACACAAGAACAAAGTGGGTACATAGTTCATCTATTATTCTTCCAATCTAGTTCTCCTAGGGATGTTTAATAAGGACTCACTCACCAGGGCACTCCATGGGGAATAGAAGGAAGGTATTTTCTGTTCATCTTTAACCTCAAGTTAGGCACCAAATACATGGCTGACTTTTATCTCAAAATACCCATTCTAGAAATAAACCACTCAGTAAATAAAACTTGAGAGAAGCAAAAATGGAAAAATACATTTAAATACAGATCTAAAAACTTACCTCAGACGGTTAAGCTGCTTCTGGTTAGCAAGTATATCTTGAACATAATCTAAACAGAGGTAAGTATATTTTGTGAAATATTTAATAGGAAATTATATTTTTTCATTTCAGGTGAAGTTCTGTGAAATTGCTCATTTTTATCCTAACAAAAATTCAAAACAATTTTGGGGGGAAAACTCCATTTCATTTTTTATCATCCCCTTTCCCACACACACACACTTTCCCCCTCCCTCAGGAAATAGCGTACAGAGGAGGGAAAATATTTGGGAGGGGATCAGTGAACTGAAAGTACAGAGTTCAAAAAATGTTGAAATCTTTCTGTGAAACATTTCAATCAGCTCTAAATCTAAAACCTCTATAAACACAAAGCTGACTTTCCACATAAGTGCAACCAGATGGCATCACTTTACTATGTTTCATTTTGTAGCTGCTGGATGCTAAACTAAGTGCTTTGAAAATGAGGCCACTTCTTTTGTGTGTCTAAATAGGGCCTTTGGAGTCTAACATTAGGCCACCAGGTTTAACCTACGTTCATACTAACATAGGAACAGTCAGAAGATTCACAGTTAAGGTTCTCACAACTGTGGGTGCATAAAACAAGGTCTCTAAGATGATAACTCAGGGGTAGCAGGAGGTAGGAGGGTAGAGGGTGTCCCATCGCCCAGTTCCCCTAAGGAAGGAGATCACAGCATTGATGGCACTGCACTGAGATTTCTAGGATAATAGTAAAACTAAGTTCATTAAATTTAAAGTGGCATCCAGGCCACAACGATGAGCTGACCATTTATTTCCATTCAACCATGTCAACTGCCATTTCAACACAACACAAGCATCAGGGACTGGGTGTTCCTGTGTGCAACACCATCTGCCACAATGGGGCACTGATCTTGGTTGAGGTTTCTGGGTGCTACCACTATAGACTTAATCGGCAACAACTCCTCTTCCCATTTCAACACAAAGTGAGGGAGCTGCCACAGGCCCTGCTGAGTTGAGCTTGTCTATTACCCTAATGCCCCATCCCTTCCGTTTTTCTGAATGTTTTGGATCAGATGGGAATTTGCATATTTCACCCAAATTTGCATATTTCACACCCAAGCAACCATCCCCTGCAGCTCTGGGCTGTTATAAATGATCCGTGTCACTCATTACAGTTTGTCGATGGGCATCTGTCAATTCAAACAACCAAGATGATTTCCCAGGCTCAGCTCCTCTGGCTGTTAGTGCTCTGGATCCAGGGTAAGAACCAAACCAAGAGGGAA